AAAAAAAAAAAAAAAGAACACACAATGAGAACTAGCCTCTTGGTGCACCTCACAGACGTGGGCAGTGGTTCTCCTAGGAGATCTGCGCATAGGAGTCTTTGGGGTCTCTCCTCCGAGTTCTTAGGTCTGGAGATCTGTCCTGGGGCTCAGTAGCTGCTTCCTAAAATTATTACCCCGGTGTTTCCTGTCCACTTTCCCAGCCCTCCAATTCCTACGCTAAATCCCCTACATGAAATCCTTCCTGTTGAAATACGTTGTGTTTCTGACTGGGGCCTCTCTTCTCAGACTCCCTTCTGACACTACATCTTGTGAACATCCCAACAGCTGAGAAATTCTGCAACTTACCCAACAACCAACTGGCAGCCTAAACGAAAGGCTAATTTTTTGATTAAGAGAATCCAAAATACTGAAACAACTATGACACGGTGAAAACGACTGTTTTGCCATGCTGTCAGAGGAGGCCAGATCTTGGATTTGAATTATTTCCATGGCTGACCATCATACAGAAAAAGGACAATTCAAAAAACTTTTAATATGGAAATGTGAAATTATTATATAATTTCACATTCTGAAGGTATAGTTAAGTACTTGAGTTATTGGCAGGGATGAGAGGAAAAAGGAACAGAAAACAAACTTATTGGAGGTTTCTATCAGGTTGTACAAGGAAGGTGAAGTTGAAGAACTGAACATTAATGGAAACACCTGGAATGCCACAGGTGAGGGTCTTACCATGATCTTGTCACTGTCAATAATGGTGTTCAACCTGTGTGCGATGGTTAGCACGGTGCACTGGGCAAATTTCTCACGGATTTTTTTTTGTATTACTTCATCAGTTCTAGAACCAAAGGAGTTGGATTTAGTTTAGTAGAAGGGGAAAAGTAGACTTAAGACTTAAAATAATCATATGACATTTTCATAAGGTTTTTAGATATCAAAGACATGATCTTGTTGCTGAAAAACTCAGTATAAAAAAATCTATTTAGAAATTTCCTATTTTGCATATAATGACATAAAATATCCTTCCCTCCAATTGCTTGAAACTTTCAGGTGTTGAATTTAGGAAACTAGCTCTGTTAGGATGCCTACTAATACCATTAACATTGTATAACTTATTTTGGTTTCTTCCTCTGTTTTCCAGAATTAACATTATCAAGAGGTGTCTTTGGGGCAAAGAGAGCGCTTAGAAACATTTCTCAGCATCATGAAATGTTTCTCATTGACCACATTTAAAATTTGGATTCCACGGTTCATGGACCTCAGTTCTGTACCTTGGATCCACATTTGCTGTCGCTTCGTCAATGATCAATATCCGGTTTTTCCTGAGGATGGCCCTGGCGAGGCACACCAACTGTCTCTGTCCAACACTGAAGTTCGATCCTGATTCAGCTAACTCGGTGTCCAATTTGCCAGGAAGATCTTCAATGGCTTCTTTAAGCTGTACCTGTGGATGCAGAAAGAATGACATCTTCCTAAACGAACTACTCCTGATGTAGACAAGCCCACTAGACACGAGAGCTCAGAAGTCCTCAGGACGTCTCACGCATCTTATGTGTCCAGTCACATGATGGGGGGGGGGGGACACCGTTTACTGAAAAAGACAGTTGCTGCAACTCAGGACAGAATGATTCTGACTTAGGAGCACAAGCTTAATGGGAGTCGAGACTCTTGAGTTGCCATCAGTAGGCACTGTCTGTTCATGCATGAAGAGATATATACTATGCTGAATAAAGCTATTCTCAAGGTAACACAGGGAATAATTAAAAACGTTCCTTCTTAATTTTTAGATAAAAGGTAACTGAAGGAATTTATAAAGACAAAAAGCAGAACGGTGGGTGCCTGGGGGCAGAGGGTTAACTGTAAATAGATAAGAGAGAATTTGGGGGGGGGTGACAGAAATGTTCTAAAACTGGACTGCTATGATGATTAACTACAAATTTACCAAAAATCACTGAATCACACCTATAGTGAGGAAATTTTCTGTTATGTAAAATGATACCTCGGTAAAATTGGTGATAAGAAATCATCTGTGTCCCCCGTGATGTCCACCAGGGACCCCTCCCTTGGGATTAATTAAGGAAATTTCTCAAAAAATGAAGTTATTTCTCTCAGTGTAGTCTAAACATTTAAAAACGTTAAAAGGATCAGTATGGTTGAGTCAAGTTTCCCAGAACACATTTTGTATGGGAGTTAGTACACTAAAGGGAGAAAACAAAAATTTAATTACTGTAGGAAGCATGGTTCTCTAAAGATATAACCTTGTGAGCACTTTACCATTTTGGAAGGTTTTAAAGTTAAAAAAATAAATAAACAAATTCAAACAATGGCAAACCACACCTCATAAATTAGCAAGCCTGGACCCTATTTTGGGGATGGCTCTTTCCCAGATTTAATCCATACTGCTAGAACAGTCAAGTACATTTACTTTAATCTCATAAAGGATTTGCAGTGAATGAAAACTCACAAAAACAGGGCACAACATCACATCTTATTTCCCCCAGACTCTCAGTTTAATAGTGTTTATATTAGATAGAATAGTGATAGAATAGTGTCTATCTTCATAAAATTATAAGTTCCAAAAAACAAACTGTTAAACACCAAAGATAATCCCAAACCATGCTGAGTGGTAGAGCTCAGCTCCATGCCTACGTCTTTGGGGAAATTTTACAAGAACCAAACTCACACTATCCTTGAGAGTTAAAGAATAGAGAGTAAATACACTTGGATTTAAGAGACTGAGAGATCGATGGGTGATGGCCAACAAGCAGGGACATGGAACTGCAATGTCAAAATGACAAAACCCAAGGGTGTGTGAGCAAGGTTTTTTACAGCATCCTAAATGCTGAAGCACTTCTGTGAATGTGATTATTGTGCTTAAGACCAAAGTCCAATCCCCAGAAACGGGAATCTGAGTTAGCATTAGATATGGTATTAGTATTCAGCACTCGCATGAAAGGTATGTAAGATCGGGATGGTGAAGGCCAGTCCTTGCACTGAAAATTGCAAAATGGGAGATTCGGCTTAGTCAACCCCCTCCATCACAAGGAGGAGGGCTCACAGGTGATTCTTCTTATGAAACCAATTTTTAGATCTACACCCGAGAGGATGGAACCGATCGAGGCTTTTATCAGCTCTTCCTTCTGAGTTGACTTTGGTAACACTTGTCTAAGCCAATGGGTCTTTCTTAAGCCTGATATCCTGATGTTGAAGAGATAACCTCATGCTTGCCCCTGACTCAGGTGACAGCTCACTAGCCTGGTTTTTTGATCCTCCTTTGGGTTGCCCATAGCTGCCTGACGAATAAACGTGTTTTCCAGAGAACACTGGTTTTTGAGACTCTGTCTTCATTTACGAATCAGGGCTGATTATGAGAATGATACAAACGGAAAAGCCCTCTGTAGTGTTTTCACCCATTCCGTCTATAATGAAGTATTAGAACAGAGAAAAGACGAGAGAGGCAGAAGACAGTAAGTAGGAGTTACACCGAGGGAATCTGAAAACCTTTGAGATAATAGCATAATGTGCTACTCCGTGTCTTGAGTGAGATGAGGATTATGTTAGGAGGAGGTCCTTATTCTTATACCATATATATTTAGGTATCTATGGGTGAATTGTAACTTACAATGAAAATTTCTGCAACTTACTTTCCAGCAGGTTCAGCACAACAGAGACTATAGAAGAGAGGAAGCAAATGTGGCCATATACTAACCAGATGAAGGGTGCATGTGTGTTGGTCACACTATTGCTTCTACTTTCTTGTGATTTGAAAAAAATTTTTTTGAAGATTTTATTTATTTATTTGAGAGAGAGAGAATGACAGAGAGAGCGCACATGAGAGGGGGGAGGGTCAGAGGGCGAAGCAGACTCCCTGCCGAGCAGGGAGCCCTATGCGGGACTTGATCCAGGGACTCCAGGATCATGACCTGAGCCGAAAGCAGTCGCTTAACCAACTGAGCCACCCAGGCGCCCGTGATGTGAAAATTTTTAAATACAAACTTGGGACCCGGAAGCCAGACAGCCTGGGCATGAGTACTGCCTGGCTCTGCCAACTGGGGAAGTTCCTGGACTTTCTCTATCTTAGCTTCCTGACCCATAAATAAGACTGTAATAATTTTAAAGGTGTCTACAACATTGTTGGAATATAAAATGAGTCAGTGTTTGCGGAGTTTTCAATAGTGTTTGATACAAAGAGATCGATAGATCTTGCCCATCCATAATGCGGTCAGTTAAACTCGCTTCATGTTCAGTTAAACTCCCTTCATGTTGTTTTATTTTTCTTCTTTGCATGCATCAGTACAGAGACCTGATTACATACGCATTGGCGTATTTTCCATCTTCTCCATGGGAATTTTAGCTCCGAGAGGGTATGGTCTCTTTTGATGACTGTGAGAGTCCCAGAATGTACAACAATGCCTCTCTAAAAAAGCTCTCATTGGGTATTTGTTGGATGTATGAATGAAGCCACAAGTGCATCTTATTTTGTGACATATTTGTTCCTATAAGAATCAGAAAATAAATCCATATAATTTATACGCGATACCATTTTCTTATTAAATGTCATTGTAAAAGAAATATATTCCTCACAACTACGTAGCTTCAAAATATCACAACAGCATACTTTAAAGTGTACAAAGCATTTAAAAAAATTAAAGGAAAACGGGTCAAATAATGCTATTCAAAACTATATATGTCCATACAGAGTACTTCAGATTATTTTTAACCTCAGGAAAATCATAAACCTCAGCAAAACTGAAAATACTACACTGAATTCGTAAGACACCCATTTGCACCATCGTAAACCTTGTGAGAGTAACCTGCTACGCGGACTGAATCTACCGGGTGCCAGTGCCCCACCCAGGAGGCTAACAGATGTCACGGGATCTCCACATTTTGCGCAGCTTTCTCACTTTTCAAAAAGAAAGGCTGATGCAGGCTGGAGAGAGAAGAGAGTGCGAAATGCAATCAACAGGTGGACAAGAGCTCTTACTAGAACTAAGCCAACAGTAAATGAAGCGAAGGGGGAGCCCATTTACCAAAATACATGGCCTCCGGAGAAACGGAAATGCAACCTATCATGAAAGCAAGAGTTGCATTACACCCCCCACGCACACACGGCTGATGCTCAGAGTTCTCTATATGATGAGAAATACCCGTATTCTAACTGAGATGCTGTCAGTGTTGGACGTAACTGGATGATCACTCCACAGTTCTAACATGACATGACGCACCCTACTCCTAATTGCATATCCGAGGATTAAAGCTGTTTGTTGTTGTCGTGGCTTTTTAAAGGAGCATTATACCGCTGAGTTTGATCTGTTATGATCTTTTAGCCCCTTGACTAATAAACTGCTTCATTTCTAGTCATTACTTATATTTAAAAACTGCCAGTGCTTTGTAGGTGCCCCAATTGCCACTAATTTCTAATGAACTTTCTTTGGTTTGTGGCTATTTTTCAATATATGAGAAAAGAGGCCAGATGAGATGGGCAACAGGCACAGGACTGCCACCCTTCTGAACGTCTAGCCCATCCAGGAGAGGAGGAAACACAACCAAAAGGACTTAAAAAAAAAAAACCAACAACTTTTAATTGAAGTTCTGAAAGAGGAGAAAACAGTAGTGCTCTCTTACTGGCTCTCAAGCCAACTCTATGAGTTTGAGTTCCTGTTTCCAGTTTGGCATCATTGGTAAAGCGGCTGACCAGGGTGGTTCGTCGACCAAAGGGAGCTGCCAAAGATACCAGGTCTCCTACCATCTACTGAAGAGCAGGCCTGGTTATGACGCACTCAGATTTGGACGTCATGGGAAGAAGCAAGCTGTGGAGATGGTGGGTAGACTGAAGACGATAAATTGAGAAGAATCCGAATGGCATTACGACTGAATCCTCTGTATGGTGTCTCACCAGATAAATGCACATATATTCTAACGTGAGTACAATTTCAGGGAAGGAAGCTTCTTAGTCCATAGTCTAAAGGCCTGGAGGTTCTAAGGACTCGAGGTGAAGGGTCCCTGACCTATTACAGAATGAGCTCAACCTCCCTGAACAGGGTCATGAAACCCACATAACTACTGTGAAAAGTTTGTAGTACTTCATCTGCCAGGAATGCGATCCAGAAGACAAAAGCAATAAAGTACACCAGAGAAAATCTGGAGAATTCAGAAAAGCCAAAGGGGAGAGGGGGAATAAAAATCACTTATTGTGTTGTTATCCCCCAAATAAGCAACGTTTATGTTTTGGTGCCTTTATTAGGTACACGTATCTACGTAATGACTAAAAGAGCTGGAATCATACTGTAAATAAAATGATATATCCATATTTTAAGAAAATCTACTAAATCTTTTGTGGAAAAACACACACATCATGAAAAAATAATTTCTAGAGAAACACAACTATGGGATGAATTCTCACTCTAAGAGGCATCACTAGGCAATGAGGTCAATTCCAGAAGCAACACATGAAAACCACTCACTTCTCTTTGTGAAAGTCGTGTTTATTTCTATTTAAGAAAGTTCCTGATGGGGCGCCTGGGTGGCTCAGTCGGTTAAGCGACTGCCTTCGGCTCAGGTCATGATCCTGGAGTCCCGGGATCGAGTCCCGCATCGGGCTCCCTGCTCGGCGGGGAGTCTGCTTCTCCCTCTGACCCTCCTCCCTCTCATGCTCTCTGTCTCTCATTCTCTCTCTCTCAAATAAATAAATAAAATCTTAAAAAAAAAAAAAAAGTTCCTGATGTCATTGAAAATAAAGGTAGATCTTACTATTACCACTTCCATCACATCATTTTTAGAATTCTGACAAGCTACTAATTTTTATTTTAATTTTGGCAGAAGAAAGCAGTATAAGATGAAACACACGTTATGATCAAAGTTCTAAGACAGTTTTATAGGATTTGTCTCCTCATTAACATTTCTTCAGGGTCCTGGAACAGTGTGTTTCTAGAGTAATTTTACTATCTGAGAATCTATGAGGAGAGATCTCAAGCTCTGAAACAAACAGAAAAATAATTTACCAGTAATTCCTGTTTTATTAAGGCGTGTCACAATTGCACCACCAAATTTGTCAGCGGAGTTCAAAAGCAAACAATGGTTGTCCTATTTTTCTTTAGATTTGATGGCTAACTGTGCCCACCCGAGAAAGACTCCCCAACTTAAAGGATATCCGAGATCAACTGCTTTCAAGTAGGAAAGAGAAGGTGAAGTAATTAGCCCAATTTAGGCAAATAAAATCCCTATGGTTACTGGAAAGCAGGGTGGGTGTGTAAAGACTCGGCACTGACATGCCTTCAGAAACCAGAATGACTGGCAGGAAACTGTAGGGCCTCCAACTCTGCCTGCTCACAAAGCTCATCTAGAAACTGGAAGAGCTCAGCGTTCCCTGGAAGGGTGACACTCAATGACAAACACATTAATGCAAAACAACAACAATCTGAGCAATCAGTCACTGGGATGTGGGCAACTGTTTTTAAAGAACTAAGCCACATGGTCCCAAAATGAAGAGATCAACCTAGTTATTAAAGTGCTGGCTTTTTAAAAGCCAAAGACGGAGCTAGGTCCTACGAGGGATTAGAAGTCTGCCTAAGGTTTAGAAGTTTGATATGGTTTCCGCCATCCAGGAGCTTAGAATCAATTTGCAGAATTAGGGCAAATGCACAAAATAATTAGTGTCAAAACATACAAACCAACAGCATCCTAACACCCTAAGTCCTTTCCATGCAAAGGCAAGGAAATTCAAAGAAGTGGTCCAAATGGAAACACTACACAAATAATAGAAAATCCTCTAGAAATGATTATATCAGTTTAAAAACTTAGAAAAAGTTCCAGGGTTCTGTTACTTCCATTTACTCAGTAGCATTTAAATGCTACTGTTTGCCAAGAGTAACTACTACACATTGTTTTACTTTTATGAACACTTTCTTATAAAACCTCAAAGCATTTTATTAGTATGATGAAAAACTATTATTGTCTTCATTTAGTGGATGTTTCCTAAGAAAAGAAAAGTAAAATGAAATGTTGTAGGCTAACTGGCCACTAAAATTTGAACCCATAAATGTAACTTCCAGTTTAGTGCTTTGCTAAAGACAAGTAAGATAATGTATCTAGTTGCTTTGGATTCCAGGAAGAAAGTTACAATGAAAACATGAGACATTTTATCTTTGGTTTTCATCATCATCAATACATACTTGTGTGTGTGTGTGTGTGTGTGTGTGTGTGTGTATCCAAGTCATCCATGCTCTCCTGGATGGTGAACAAGATGAGTTAATCCAATACATTCCCATTAATTACCTGCAATGTTCTACAGGTACATACACACATACTGATGGTAACAAGTTAAATAATTACATTTTATAAATTACCTCTGTTATGGCATTCCACAGTTCCTCATCCGTATGCTCATTAAAGGGATCCAGATTTTTCCTCATTGTTCCAGTGAATAAAACAGGTTCCTAAATATTCCAAAATAGTGGATGTTATTACTGTAGCCTCTTTTCATTTTATTTCAATGCTAAATTCCAGAACAGAATTAAAATATAAAACCAAAATTCACTATAATCATTAATAACAGGGTTGCAAATGCCTGTTGATGAAACAGTGTCTCTATTAATTTTCCATTATACAAAGTGTGACCCAAAATATCTTCCAGACCCCTGAACACTAACAAAAGAAACTGTTGAAGTGTGTTGTCTTAAGAAGAAACTGAAGAGAAAGGAAATTTGGTTTTTAAAAATACTTTCTGAGCAGTACCTGCTTAAACAGGAAAAACACAGATATAATTATTTAAGAAACATGACAACAAGAGAGCTATGTAAGTTTATTACCGCTCCTGGTGTGACACTGGAACATACCAATAGTATGATTGGTTGACGTTTGTGACTCAAAGCAAAACTGGGAAATCACATGTGCAGTGACAAAGAAGCTAGGATGTTTCCTCCACTGGTAGAACAGTCTTCTGGGATGGGGAACCTCTCCCCACGTATGAACGGGACCCCCTGTTTTTTGTCCAAAGAGAATGTAAACGAATGGGCCCAGTGGCGCCTCTATGCATGAAGAGATGGCTCTGGGTTTGCACCTGCTAATCCCCACATTATCTTGTCTGTGCATTGGGATTACATGCCTCACAGAACCTAAAACCCAGGATAACCTGAAACCCATGTGACGTGCATCATAATAAATTATTTTAATTTAAATAGCTCTTCCTATTCATGTGCTTCAGGAGGAGCCATAATTAGATCACGCTTGCAATATATGCCTCCTTCTGTGTTTCAGGAGAGAACCTGGTACATAAGCGTATGTAGGCCATGTATGTTTTCTTTCTGGAAGGCTCTGCTAACCCAGGCCAAAAGAATATGGGTAGCAGGGAAGAGCTCAACTGGCTACTTTCAGTGAAGGTGGAAGAACAATGAGATGCACGGATGTAGGAACAAGAGAAGATTTGACTCTTCCACCGGCATCCAAGAACGGCTCAAGGGAATCACCCGCCTCAAGCTCACCTGACCTTGGGGCTGGACCGTTCCCCCTCGTTTCTCAAAAGCCTGAGAAGATTAAGATGGTAAACTTTTCTTCTCTCTAGCCATGAAGAACACTCAGAGAGCCTCCCATACCTTCTTTCCCTGTGCTCTCAGTCTTAAGACGGGAGAGGGAAATGGACGCAGAAGACAGTAAGTGTGCCACCAAAAAACATGCCTGCCTCAAGGCAAAATCCAAATATTAAAAGACATTTTAAAAAGGATGCTTTATTTTTACGAAGTTGATTAAGTGGCCCACATGCCCCAACAACACTGAAAAATCACTGGTCATATGAGGTTTCAAAATGATTCCTGAAAGACCCCAAGACCCCAGTTCAAAGTCTCCCTTAAAACTACTGAGTTTAGGATCAAAGACTAAACCACCATCTAAGCAATGGTAAGAGTTCCTGTCAGGGGGATAACAATCATCGTATTTGGGATTTGAAAGTCTTCACTCATTCTACTTCAGAAATTCTTCAGATTCTACTTTATCTTACTCTTTGTAATGATCAATTCTAAGAAGAGTTCAACAAGCTAGGCGTTTCTCCTTCTCCAGCTGATTCCCTGAAGGTTCCTGAAAGGAGGAGGGCTGCTACCCATCCTCCTCCCATCAAGGCTCTAAACCATGGGCAGTATCCACTCTGCGGCCCAAACTGAGAAACTTTGAGGACTGGTATTTGGGGAGGTAAAAGGGCTGAAAAGAGAACAGGTTAAGGAATCAGCTTCAAGACCAAAGGGGGAGGTGGTCACTTGGCTTCTACTAACCACAAGCCTGTCAAGGTGTACAGGACCCAAATGTGTTTGCCTTCAGGGGCTTCTCATAAAGCAAACTCACATCCAGTAAGAGGTCTAGGATGAAGTGTCCACCTGGTTTTCAAAGTACACTCTGCAGAGGTGTTACCTAAGCTAATCTACAAAAAACTGCCTTGTGAAGACTTTCCTTCCTTTGTTAAAGAATGAAAGGGCCCAGGATTCGCGGATTCGGGAGTCATAGTTTGGGTGATTCAAGAGAACAGGCACGGGAGAGCACACATTTAAAATTCGATCACCTATTTCATCAACAGGAAGGGTCTCTCTCGTCACCTCCCTCGCCTTTTTCTCTTTAGGAAAAGGTCTTGAAAGGAATGAATCTCTCCAAAGACTGGAGGACTAAAGTGGGATTCTTTGCAGAAAGAGGAGTTGCTCCCTCTGACACAGAGTGGAAGCTGCTTTAAGCTGAGCTTGAAGCAGACACCTCAGGTATCTGCAAGGCCTTAGGGAGGTTCTGCTCATTATCAGCGAGTCACCGCGATCATAAAGAGAAAAAGTTAAGTTTAACCATTTCCCATTGCAATTAAGGGTCACCACTTAAAACTCTACTGTCAATCTAAAGGGATATAGTAGGCGATTACTCACGTTTCCTTAGCAGTCATTAGAAGAAAAGAGTTTAGTAAATTAGAATATTTTTCTTTGTTATGACATGCCAAATATATGTTTCAAAATGAGTACAATTTCAGTCAAAACTTGAATGAAGAGAATGGTTTATTAGAACATTAACTGATTGAAGCTGTATTTTTCTTTAAAACCAGCAGGCAATTTGTTAACAATGTCTGTTTTAATATGCCAATGTGTTTTATGCATGGTGTTCATTTTGGTTTCTATTCATTCTACTTTCATCCACTTGCCAAATAAGAAACCACTATATTATCTTCAAAAGGTAATAAAAGTGCTCACAGTAGACATATACTGCAGGAGCAGATAAGGGTCAAATTAATTATCATTTCTGATAGATACTATTATTTAAAGTACCCACCTCCAAGCAATGAAGTTAATAAACTAATCTTATAAATAAATGTTGTAAAAATGTTTGCAGGCAGAACATTTCAGCGTCGAGATTTATGGCCAGACATACACCCTTCATGTAAACATATAATATATACTAAATATATTAGCCTAAGTATATTTTTTTCTGAAGGTAAACAATTAAACCTCATTTAATAAGAGTTAGCTGGTATGGCAGAGTTAGGAAAACAAATGCTCTTGTTCAGTGTCATCTTTTAAATGGAACCTGAACATCAAATCTGTTTTTCATCAGTTTAAAGTTGCTATTTTTTTTTTATCCTTTGTGCCATATTCAGTAATGTTTTCCTTTGTTACCAACGTAACACAAGTTCATATCAGCCATGTGACCCAAAAATGGCCACTCTGAATCAAAGCATTTAGTGTAGTAAATTGATAATCCCTCAACACAACTGTAAGACAGAACTGCAGTCTTACTAGGCCTTTTGTATACGCTACTGAAAGACAAACCTCTCATTATCCTAAAAAGAAACCCTACCCACTAACCTTCAGAAGCTTAAAATGACCCTGGTCCAAGACAAAAAACACACAAGTGGTTACAAACCAGGCAGATAAAGCACAACACTTTACCATACCCTAATCATGTCAGCCCCCAACCAGAAAACTGCCCTCGACTAAAATATATCTTCCAGAGTGGTTGCCGGTCCCGCGCGTCCTAACAGCTACATTTTCATTTCTAAACGGAGGACCTTTATTAAGGGCAGCTCATCTCCCTGTTCCAAGAATGACAGAATCACCTGAAGGAGCTTTAAATCTTGCTTTCCTTTTTTTTTTTTTAATCCTGTAGCCTCTGAATGAACCGATCATCATCCATATTCAGAAGAAAAGAACAATTGTTTGCCAACAAAGGAAAAAGAATTTAAGTCCTGTAAAGTCCTCTTTCGATACAAAAAGGTCAGAAGCTCCTGGGAGCAGTTCCCCGGGCTTTAATGAAGACTTCAGTGTCAGAAACAAAAGGCTGACTCCATTAGGCTAGAATCCAGTTGTATTTCTTTACTAGTAACAGCATACCCACCTCTTCTCTGAGTTCTGTTCTCAACAAGGAAAAAAAAAATAGAGGAAAGAAAACCAGGTAAGAATAAAGAAGTCTAAAAGAGACAGTTCAGGTTGACCTTTTCCACCTACAAAAGATAACCCAGGGAACAGAAATACCAAAGGAGCAGAGTGGATGGTTTAAAAAATACCTCACTTTTGCTTTGATTTTAAAAAGTCTATTAAATGTAAAAAAATGAATCTGTTTAATCATGATAAAGATGATAGCTGTTGATCTGTGCCAACCCTTGGGGTACAATCATAAATAATGAATTTGCATGGAATCACTTTTCAACTGAAAACATTTTCTTGGTGCCAAAAGGAAAGGGGCCTTAGATGTAGAGAATCCATCCAAAAAAGTTTTGAAATCCATTTTTCCAGATCCTTTCAGATAAGCAAGCTATTCCCTAAATATAATCTCATCTTTTTGCTCTCTTTGGGGAATATGTTTAACTATTTCAGGTCGTGAGCACAAAGGGAAGTGTCCATTTCGGCGACCTGTTCTGTTTGGAAATTTAGAAAGTGCTTTCATTTTTTTTTGCTTACCCCTGAAATTATACAAATTGCGGAGTACATTCATAAGAACACAGTATTTGTTTCTGAACATTCCCTGGGGGGGACTGGCCCCTAACCATCTCACCATCTGGGTCACCACTCCCTTACCCCTTGTTCCGACGTCGGTCCTGGCTGTGATCACCTCTCTCCCCGGTCTGATCCCTCAAGGAGTGGTCAAAGGCGACCAGGATGAGCCTGGGAGAGCGGGACCACCGTGGAAGCTCACTGCTGTAGCCAGGCTCACGGCAAGCTTGGAGCTGGGGAATGACGCAGGCCTGGCTCATCGAAAGCGGGAACACAAAAAACAAACAAGCCTCCATTCTCCTCTGCAGAGACTGCTCCAAACTTCATAGGTTCCCTAAATGAGGATGTGGAGACACAAGGACTCTGTTTCCTATTCACTTTGGGGGAAGAGGGATGGAAGCTGTCTGCACTATAGACAAGTAACTTTTAAGCCACCAGGCCAACAGACCTTCCCACCTCTGCAGTCACTGTAAAGAGAAAGGGCTCTCAGG